TGTAGATAGTTTTATATATATACTTCTACAAAATATACACTTGATATATACCAGATTTTATATATAAGTTGGTATATAAGTTGAAAACATCTAAAAATAAATACTCAATAAAAGTAATATTTAGTTTTCACATATAACAATTTAGCAACGAAATTAAATCGACTGCTAAATCGATGACTGGATAGTAAGTTGAACATTAAAGACAAATTCTAGTCCTAATTCTAGTTAATAAGTAGACTAATGTGTTTTAATTCTCTAAAATACATTCAAAAATAAACTTTAGAAATTGTACCTGTACAATGCAATTGTATTTGCATCAGCACTTGCAATAATTAAAAGAAATAATAAATATTTTATATATAAAAAATAACAGATTATATATTCGTAATGTCAACGATAAATTGTTAGTGCACTTGAGATCAACAATAAAACCACCAGCAGCAATATAAGGAATAAAAAACAAATATAAAAATAATAATAAATTCCAATGGTTTACTATCTATACCATATTTCAATATGAAAAAACACAAAACATGTTCCCCATTATTATAAGACGTGCTAATGGTCTGAACAACTCTTAAATTACTATCGCCATCAATAGATAGTACGTGTTACATGTATTGAATACACGTATATGTTGTGACAATATGTGGCAATGTAAATGTATTTAGATCGCAAAAAATCGCAAGGTACTGTAAAACTTTTACAACATTTTCGGGACGATATTCTTTTCTATTAATATATAATTATGCAGTAAAAATAGTAGAGATGAGGTCAGGTTGAAGTGGTGGTCCATTTAAACACAAATAATGATCCGTTATGATATGACAGATAAAGACACCATCAAAAGGTAGTATAAACTCTAAAGTTTATAGACATAGACGTAGTCTTACGCATAGATAACGTCGAAAAGAACAGACACAACTCAGTGAACCAATCTGAAAAGGCATTAAACTTGACTATGTTCTTAATTTTGAAGGATAACAGTTCTTTCTGTCAGGTTGAGAAAACAAGACCCAAAGATATTAAATTTATATCTGGCTAAAGATTATCACTAAATAGCAAATATTCAAGACTCTCCATTCATAATTGTTGTTAAAAAAAATAGTTTTTTGTTAGCTATTTTAGCTCCATTGCATAGTTTACGTATACTTATGTTACATAAAAAAATAAATCACCTTTTAAATTAAAGTAACAATTTGTGCCATGGAAGCCCAGAAATATATAAAGAATTAAGAATTCAATTGGAGCACAATTACAATTTTGTCGGGACTCCTAAATTTATCATTTGCTTTGTAAATTATAGATTCACATTTGATTTGATGTCACTTTATATGTGGTGATTTAAAGTAAGAATTTTTAACATATCGCCTAACAGATAGATCTATTAAAGTGTACTTGATGTGCTGACTTAAAAAATAATTTGACTTTAAAAATCTTTTATGTGGTAAAAATCTAAAATGTTAACCCTTAATAAAAATATAAATTGTTTTTTTATTTAGAAATTGTGCGTCATAAATATCTATATGAGGGCTGTACAAATCACGGCTCACGAGACTTAAAGATAAATTAATGAAGAATTAATACAACTAAAATTATAATTATTGCCATATTTTTTTTTTCTTCGAAAAAAAATTTTTTCGAACGCATGTATTCCCTCAGAGAATTTTATTGGCCAGTGATCTTATCTGGTCTGTACAGCCCTGAAGTACATAATTCTATATTTTAAAAAAAATTTAGATTTTAATAATTATTTGTTTGGTATCTACCCTAAATACTGACCTTCAGTAACAATGTTGTAGCTTATATCTGACCCTTTTATATAGAGATTATGTATTAAAAATATCATGCTTTAAATATCAGATTAAGCCAATCAGGAAGTAGGACAGATATATGGCAATGTCAGTTGGTCAAACGTAGAAATCCTGCAAAGAGCTCAAGTAAAGATTCTAACAATGATAACTGGTGCACCCTGGTATATCAAGAATAAAAACATACATTTCGATTTGAAATTTCCGATGATTAAAGTTGAATTCGGGAGAATAAGGCAAAAACATACTTCGAATCTTGAAAACCATGTGAAAACCAGCAGCTAGCTAGACCTCTTGCTAATATGACAAATTCCTCTAGACTGAAACGGAATGATAGAGCTGCCATACTGCTTTTTTTATAAAGACCATCCTAATTAATTCAACTTGGGCGTCGTGATATCTGGTATAAATAAGCCCTGGCTACTTATACAGGGACCCCTTAAAATAATTTACAAATCGTTATATAACTTGTGTAGCGTTTAGCAAAGCTTAAAACACTACTATTTACTAGCTTGAAATTGCACAAAGCCAGGCTCTAAGAAGACTTTTCAAAGTTCCATGATACATAAGGACGAATGACATCCTCAGGGACATCAAGATTGATCCCATCAAAAAATACATAAAGGATAGAGCCTTGAAATTATTTGCAAAATCTGACAGACTTACCAACAACGCGTTATCAAATGTTAGAATGGTTACAGGCTCCTCGGGGATGTATGCAGATCTGAGGTTAATTATTGCTTAGTCTGATGAAGTAATAAACAATAATCTAGTCAAGGCGCAAAGAGGTGTTTTGAAGAAACCTCGCAGTATATAATAGAGTGTAAATAATGTAAAAGTGCTAAAGTGCACTGACTCAATTAGCCTCAACATATTATAAAATAATTTGTACTGTAATGTTATTAGTCTTTAAGATTCTAACACTTATTTTTAGGCTTAAATAAGCCTAAATAGCGATCAATAGAGACATATTGTTAATAAAAACAAAAAAAAAAATATCAAAATCAATACAAAGTACTTTACTAAAATATTAAATAAAATTTAATATACATGTACATATATATATATATATATATATATATATGTATACATGCATATCTACAGAACCGTAGCCTGAAATTCACTTGGGGGTGGGAATTTATTTTATTTATAAAATTTATTTCAGATCATTTCAGTAATTAAAAGTAAGCTTTTATCTTATTAAACAATTATGTTTGTAATTAACCATTATGTATATGTGTAGTATGTATGTTTAATTTATTTAATTTTAATTTAAATAAAAATATAAATTTTTTATGTATTTTTTTATTATTATTACCCCTTCTTTAATATAGTTTAAATTTTAATATTCATTTGCAAATTTTTGCACTGATTTTTTAAAAATCAATCAATTATAAACTAAAAGACCGTTAAATTATATTTTAATAAAAAAAAAAATATTTCTCATAAAAAAAATTTATTTTTCATAAATAATTTTATTTTCCATAATAAAATTTTATTTTTAAATCAGATAAACTATTCGCTGTGAATTTTGCATACATATGTAAAAAACTTGCATATGTACAGTAATTACATTGTGAAATTTTTCTGAAATAATGTCTTTTTATAAGGAAAGCATTGTCGGAAAACGTCAATCAATTTATTGTTATCTTAAAAAAATTTTCCACTGTTAACATATAAATTTTATTTCTGTCATATCCTTTCAGTATTGGACGTTTTAACTTGTTACTTGCAGCAAGGATCTGCACCTTACGTATCCGTATGCGTATTCTTTTTATTATATAAATTTTTTATGAAGAAATTTCAATGCTCCAACTGCCAAAGGGAAACTGTGTATTTCAGTCCTTTTATTTTATTTTATTTTTGTTTTTTTTTTGTTTTTTTTTGCATATGATTTAAGAGACCAAAGAAAAATTTGAATTTGTAAGTAGATATTTCTAAACATTGTATGAAGGATTGTACGTAGAAGTTTATATTGCCCTCAAGTACATAACCGTTTAAAGGATATTTGAGATGCATTCATTGTCTAAAACATTGAAGTATTTTCATACACCCTGAAGATTTTCCTTTTGAGTGAACTCTTTTGCAAATAAGTTATATGGAGTGGAGCACCCCATATAGCTTATTTGAGTCATAAAATGAAATTATTGGTTTATCCTCCAGAAATTCATTAATATTTAATGTAATAAAATTTAACGTAGTGTTTTATAAGTGTTTGCACTTTTCTCTTTAAATTAATTTGGAAAATATTCTTATTTTATTGTTATTAATTTATCTGATGTTGTTTTAAGGTGTAGCCGTCAGATTCAAATTTTAATTAACAAGAAAATCAGAAACACAAACACGTTAAAAAGTCATTCCTTCGTTCCTTCTGAACTTGTGACCTCCACATTAATGGGCTAACGTGTGGTTCGAAGGTAAAAATTAAAAAAGTAAAAAAGTCAAATAAAAAATATAACAAGAAAAGAACTGAGAACATTTCTAAAATACAATTTTCTCTGTCGCGGCATAAATCACTGGGAAAGAATTTTGCCAACCCAAACGCTATTAAAACTTTTACTTTGTTCTTCTGTGAACAAAGGTATTTCGCATGAAAACTGAAATGTGACTTACTTATTCTATGCGAATGCAGTTTTAAATCTAGTCAGCAATGCGGGCATTAAAAATACTTGGCTTATTTGGTATGCGCATACAAAAACGCAACTAATTAACAATTTTAAAAATTTCAACTTTACTTTCGAAAAGCAAAGCAGATATTCATATGCAAAAGTATTTTGTTGTCAAAAACAAAATTTGTTAAAATTAACAAGTAAAGTTTTGGGAAGCAAATACAAAAACTCACTATACACACACAAAAGGACAAATAGACAAATAGACAGTTCCTCCTCACTTCTCACACATTTTATATGGAAAAATACAACAAATTTCGAAATATTTGCGTGACATTATTGGGAGTATATTTTATTATTCTACTTTATCATCTACATTTATAATAATAATATATGTACATTAGTTTACATATTTGTTATAATTAAAAACGTTATATCTTTTGTTATTTATACTATACATCAACCGCTTAAAAAAATATTTAATAAAAATGTTTAACAGAATTGAAAACTATAATTTAATAACACAAAAAAGTATTATTCCATTACTCACTCACTAAAAATATTTAATATTTTAAATCAGATAACGATTTGTGGGTATGGTAGCTACTAGCCAAAGCAAATGAAACATATCAACTATTATCGCACAAACGGAAAATACTTAGAAAGATTTATGGTCCAATACGTCTAGATGATGACACATGTCGAGAAAGATGTCAACTACTATTGCACGAACGGAAAATACTGAGAAAGATTTCTGGCCCAATACGCCTAGTTAATGGCACATATCATATTAGAGAACTACGAATTAGAGAACTCAATTGACAAGCAAAATGTAATACTACGATACATAAAATCACAACCACTAACATGACTTTAACACGTTTAGCGTATGAACCGAGTACGATCAGCAAAATAAGCACTTGTAAGAAATCTAATTGGATGCGGTAGAAGAAACAGACCTAGAATTTCTAGTGGCTAGATGATGCTGAAGAAGGTTTAATGAAGTCACGCGTAAGCGATTGGAAAAACTTGATATCGGTTGGAGTCAGTTGGAAAAAATTGACAGAGGAAACACTGGTCCACCAAGAACTGTTATGCTAAGAAAGAAGAATAAGGTAGCTTTTATTTTCTTCAAGACATTGACAATATTCAGTTATTTTCACTTCTTGTAAAGATGATTGATATAGCCCACCAGATAACAGTAGCTGACCTGTCGTTATAAATACAAAAATAATGCAAGTAGCAACGTTTTGGATGTTAATTCAATCGTACAACTGCCGAATCTTCGGAATAGAGAGAGAAGTTAAAATAGAAACTTCAAGTAACTTTGCTCTAAAGAAACATAACAAAACAACTTAAAGTTGCTGAACGTTTTTACTTGTCACGTAGTTTTATCCTGTAATATCTTGTGGAAGCTTACGAAAGGTAATACTCGTTCATTATTGTGTAGCACTATTAAATATCTCACTCTATAATAGAAGGTATAAAAAAAAAAATAGTACATTTTGTTTTCCACCTAATATTTTCTTCATAATAAAGCATAAGTTACTTGAAGCTTTAAGTTTGACAAAGAGGCAGTCAGCTCAACGGTGTACAATACATGTAATACAATCTGAGATGTGCTAACACAAACACATCTATAAAAATTGCAGATATCAGAAATATTAAATATTGCTAATAATAATTATGGGACAATCTTAAATGCTAGGGAACAGAAAATGAGAAATATATAACTATAACAAAGCTTGTCTATTCTGGATATATATATTTTATTTATGAAAAGTGTTCTAATTTTTCTTATGATACAATATAAGTAAGTGATGGTCTAGCAGTAATAATTTATTTTATTAAATGGATTAAATTGTAGGCCGCAGCGAGTTTACAATTTATGTATTAGGATGAAGTGGTATAATCTTTAATGTTTCTAATAAGAGATATTGATATGTCTATTTAGGGCCTAATGGATTTGTAGAAGAGCCGTTATAACATTACCTAGCCTAAAATGTTTCTATTTAACTATTTATTAGCCTACAGCACAAACAATTTTTATATATATTTTGAAATTGTATGAATCTATTTTAATCCTTACAGTTAATGTCCGAAGAGTTGTTTTTAATTTTTGTCAACTACTACAAATCAAGGATTTCGGACAGGGAAAATCATAAAACTTTATGATAAAGCATATACATCAAATGCTGCTCTTACCGAACTAAAAACACAACTAGGTTCTTTTGAGGACTTAAGTTCAATGGATCGAAAGCGAATGGCAAAACCTTACTAAGCACAACCAGGTAATTAAAATAATTTATATAGTAGTAAAAGAGATTGCTACTATTATATATGGTATAAATATACATATATATAATCAGTTTTATGCATGAAGATATTTTATAGGTATATGTAACACGTTTAAAGTGGCGTTAATCCTAATGCCCAGCGAAAATGACAACCACTAACCGTATGTGGTTTCCATGTAAGAACTTACAACTCTTTTGTGTCAACCATATACGCTGCTATAAAAAATGAGTTGATTGAGACTTGTGGAACTGTGAGTGCCATTCAGCGGGATGTTATGAAACTAGTAACATTAAAAAAGCTGTACTAAAGATGTTTCAGATCGCAGTGCATGCACAGCCTATTCATAATAATAAAACATAGAAAAATAGTAGTTTTTTTTCTGCTTATTTTTGAGGATCTATAATACAAAAAAATCAGTTTTTACTATTATTTTTTCCATACTTATTATGTTAAGTAGCCTCAACATAATCAGTCAGTGCACTTGAGCACTTTTACTTTCTATTAACTGCGAGGTTTCTTTATAACCCGTCTCTACGCCTTGACTAGGTTATTGTTTATCATTTCATCAGTTTAAGCAATAATTGGCCGCAGATCTGCATATATTCCCGAGGAGACTATAACCATTCTGAGATTCGATAGCGCGGTGTTGGTAAGTCTGTCAGTTTTTTCCATGCTGTTTTTTACCTTTTACTATCCATTTGTTTTATTAGATATAATTTACAGTTTAAAGACAACAAAATAATAAGGTTTATAAGTTTTTAATAGAGCTATAGTATTATCAGAACCATTATAGTAATTATATATTAATTGCGAAATCTTAATTAAATACAAATTAAAAAATTAAAAAAGAGTATTTAAAGTTATAATGTTTATTTATGAAAAATTATTGTATTATAGAACTGTAGAATGATTGCGACTTATCGCTTAAAAGCTGTTCTATATAGTTAAGTTCAATTGTCTCTAAGGTACTCATGTGAAATTCCAATTAAATTATTTAACAATAAATGGTCAGTGCTGTGTGCTTTGACAAATGTTGCCTTTAATGTAATTATATTCGATTTACTACATTTAATTTATTGGTTTATAGTACAAATGCAAATGTGAAAATATAATTAAATTGTATGTAAGCCTATTTATGTAAGAAACGTGCATATAAACTTGAAAATGAATTGCCTATTTTTAACAAACATACAAGCAAATAAATAAATAAATTACTATTGATTTTCTCATATCGCTGCTTTTTATATCTTCCGGTCACATTTTTTAATATAATATTTTCATTATTTCAAATTGTACAACTCTTAAGTACATAAAGAATATATTTTTAAAATTCATTTCAGAGGATTTTTGGAATTTCTGCGCAATTTCAAATACATTTCAAAAATTTTATTTTGTTTGTTGATTTTTTTTAAGCTGCAAATTTATCAAAACACAAAAATTTACTACAAATTTATTATTTCCGGCGAATTAAATATTTAAACGTCGACAATTTTCATTTATTGAAACAAAATCAAAAAAAAAAAAAAACAGGCAAAACAATTAATGGTTTCTGAAAGTAATAAATTAATTTAAATTATCATGATCTCGGAATAAATAAATGATTTTTCTCAAAGGGGCGGCACATGAAATTGACGCTTCATTTTTAATGTACGAGTGGATTACATGAGAACGTACTATAGTTCACGTAGATAATTCTATAATTTGAAACCGATGACCTTTACTAAAGCCCTTACTTACTAGTATGTTCGTCGTATAAACTTGTATAGACATTTTGCCATAGGAACATTTTTACGAGTATACACAACAATTAATCATTGTGATTAGTGGAGGGTTTTGAACTTATTTGAAATACATTCTCTTAATTTACAAGTTAAAAGATATACGAAAATTAAATTTTCTTTATTAAATTAAATGATTATGATTTAAGGTTTAATTTATAATTCTTATTAGAAACAAATAATGAATTTTATGTTTTATTTCACTGCAAAAGCGTTAACGAGCTTTACTCTAATATTTGATTCATAGGATATTTAATTAATTTTTTTTATCACTGAAATTTATTTTCATAATAATTGGGCACTGAACAAAGCAATTACTTAAACTTAAGTAATTAGTTTGACAGTTTCTTCACACATATGTTTAGTTATATGTACATATATATATAACTATATTTTACATATATACATTTTTTATTTGTGTCTAAATGATTGCTCTTAATGACACTTTCGCTGTATTACTTACAAAATAAGGTATAATTAATAATATTGATTGATTAAGAAGACATAGTTATAAAGTTCATATATCGATTTAGTAGAATATTGTATATTGTGATCTTTACTGAAAACATTTCAGTTTATATTATTAAAGTAATTTATAGAAGTAAGTTTTTACAATAAGTTGCTAAGGTTAATGTGTAAAGTCAACATTTTATTAAAAGCTCCGTTATTAATGAGTTTAGAAATATCATACGATACAAAACTGGAAGTTTCAATTTTTATGGATCTGAATGATGAAGTATCAAAAAATTAAAAAAGGCCTATAAATAACTAAATAACAATCTAATCATTTTATTTTAAGTATACATAAAATAAACTGGACATAGTCCATACACACCTCTCTTTTAGTTTGTAGTAAATATTACTTACTGTTATTCATACTTTTACAGATGTAAAAAAAACCAAACAAACAAATGAAATAAAAGAAAATACTCGTAAAAGTCCATATCCCCTTAATTTCAATATAAATCTAGCTAAAATTATTGAACCAGAAATTGGAGCTTCAACCTGAGCTTTAGGTAACCATAAATGAACCAAAAATATAGGTATTTTAACTAAAAAAGCTAAAATTTTAGAAAAATATAATAATTCATACATTCAGTACCATAATTACAACTGCTATTGTCAAAGCTATTTTTTGACTGTGAAACTTGATTTAATACAAAATAAGTGCAGTTTTATCAATTGGAGTTTTATCACATATCTAACGAAGAGCTTTAATCAAGCAAAGGTATGTCTAATGTTAATATTAGTCAATATTCGCTATATTTAGTGCAAATTTTCAAATGAAGAGGTCATTGAAAAAGGGTCTAAATAAGAATAATTTTAAAGGATATCAAAACTTACATAGAATATAAAAGCGGACTCTGCGGGATTATCTCCAAAATTTGTAGTATAACTTTATAAACAACACAATGAATCAACAGAAACTTTATGCCTAGTACATTCGTTCTTATTTTTTGAAAATTGCATATTCATTTCTTGATTTATGAAACTTAATTTTAAAAATTAGACTCAATCGCACAACGTTTGATAGAAGATTAAGCTTCTTTAATGGTTCACGATATAGATAAAGGAAACAATTAAAACCTTCTTAACAGCTCAGAAATTGCGTTAAGTGGAAGCAAGTATATGACATGCTATCAAAAATCATTGTAAAATACGACAATAAGCATTTAAAGAGGCTATGATTGTAAAGATTTCATCTATGCAATGAGTTATTTAAAAAGTATTCGGATTTATTCTGCACTCTGGTCTATGAAACAGTTGATTTCATGTGACAATTCTTGGTTTTTATTTTTTTGACAGATGACACTTTAGTTTACTATTGGTGAATATTTTATGGAGATTGGTGTTTTGTAAAGAGTAGAGTCCCTTAATCCTGTTTTTAAATGATCAATAACTGATACTTTCTGGACAGAATGTATTATTAGAATTTTGAATCAATTGATTTATGAAGTATTGTATTATAGTACAACTTATGGTTGCATGATATGTATCTGAATTCAAAAACTTTTTGCTTTAATTAAATACTTTATAAAATATAAAGCGCATTGTGTTCATAGAGCAATCCTAAATTAGAAGTTTAAAATTCAAATATATTATTAAATTATTATGAAATCTAGGTAAAACATTATTTATTTATATTAAAACTTTATTCATACTATTATCCTTTTATAATGCACAGTCGTTGATAGGTCATGAACACTAACAACTTAAAAGAGGCTTAAGGCTTTACACAATTAAATATTTTTGTGTTACTTTCTGAGATATCCTTTTTGCAGAGCATTTTCACATAAATTTTTTGCAGAATTGCTTAGCTTTTCCATTTATCTTCATACCTTACGGTTAAGTGGAGGTCAAATTGTTTGCGCTTAAAAAAAAAAATAAAATAAAACATTCTAACATTTTCTTCCTAAGTTAAGGGAGTCGGATTTTGTATCTAACGAGCATAATGTTTAAAATGAACGATTTTTTAAGCAACTTTTTGGCTAGACTGTTTCTCCATATTTGAAATTAAATAATTTACATATTTTAGTAAAATGTTTGAAGCTGTTTTTAGCACATAAACATTCAGATAAAAGTAAGTTTTTCAAGTATTATATAGATAATAGAACACATTTTGAGCTTATTTATGATAACAAACTAAAACACTTTATAAAATTAACCCAAACACTTTTTGTTATATCAGTTAGTGAAATGTTTTTCCGTCACATTGTAACTGTTTAATTACATGATTTATATATACATATTAGATTTATATATACATATTTGTGTTGCTTACAATATTTTATAACATATTCATAACATATTTTATTTAATATGACAACCAATAATTGACCTGTATTTGTTAATAAAAGATATTTTTATATGTAATATTTAAAAACAATGTTCTTTTACAAAATAATATTTTATATATTATTATATACGAAACATTTTATCTAATATGATAACCAACAATTGACCTATATTTGTTAATAAAATATATTATTATGGTAATATATTTAAACAGTGTACTTTTTAGCTTATATATACGTAAAAACTTTATATTTACACTTAATAAAAAAAAATTTTTGTTTGAAAATTTGTTTTCTGTATGAAAAGTATCCGGAATTAGAACATTAACCATAAAATTTCATCAATCTATCAAAATTAATATTGTTGCCTTCATCAAAATGGGATTAACCGCTAGACCATAGCCTGTATAGATTCTTCATATGCTAAGTAAGAATGGTATTCAAGTAGCATTCTTTCTACGAATTTCCATTTATGACTAGAATTGCCTCGAAACGGCTTCCCAAAAATGGTGATTTTAGTTTCGGGAACAGAAAAAGTTTCACGGGCCTATGTTAGGAGAGCACAGGTGCTTATAAAAGTAGGCGTGAAAATTGCTCAACAGCCGGTACTGCGGCCAGAAGAGTCCTATTGTACCAGAGCACAGGTGCTTGGTTTGACACATATATTGAGTTTTTTGCTTAAAACATTTGTAATGCGATGGCTTTGTATGATCACAATTTATTTAAAAGTAGAATATCAAAATCTACTGTTGTAAACGCATTGAGTAATGGATGGAT